GGAGAGATCAATACAGTCATACCAAAGACCACCGCATCCGACGAGTCCTCACTGCTTGGTATCGCTAAATACGCGTGGAGTGGATATATACTCGAGTGTAAGGTCTGTGGCGTTATATACCGGAGCAGACAATACTGGTATGGAAACAAAGAGCCCACAGAACAGAGTGTCGTTCGCACAGAAATACAACACGTCTGGCCTGACGTTAGTATCCATATTAACCATATATTTGTGGTGTTATTAACGTTAATTGCTATGATGTGGTCTATAATTAGGAACCCATACCATCGCAAGGCTCTCAAAATGTTGGCCAGAGAGCCATCGATACATTGAGTTATGTGACCACAAATGTGTCGCAAATGACTGCCAGACCATCGAAAGTATTGGCCGATTGGATGGCCGATAAGATCGCACCGTCTTATTGGGTGCCAAATAATAGAATATTGGTTTGTATTGTTTGTATGCTTTAGTTATTGACAACAATTGTAATTGTATTGAATTTATGAACAGCATTGTGGCGGATGTGACAAAGAATTTGAACAATTGGATCAAAAACATCACTGGTATGAGTGCTTTCCTATTCACTTGTCATCGATGTCTATATTAATTTGATTTGTTATAATTCAATAGCCGTTTGTGTGGCCACGGCTTCTGCGAAGACTGTTCTTCCAAGAGTCGTCCGGTGCCAGAGAGGGGTTGGGGGGACCAACCCGTCAGAGTGTGCGACCAGTGCTTCGAAAAGGGTTTGTTAGACATGTATTTTTTGATGACACAAATTGACACAAATGTGATAATAGGGGAGAAAAGTGTTGAGACGGCTAACGCCGAAGTGATGCCTCGCATAATGGGAGAGTTGGTTCAGAACACTATCGGGAATCTGGTCTCCGCGACCGTTATTTATCCTCGCGGTATGTATTGATTGATTGTTTTAGTTTTGTATACAATTTAACAAATGCTCATCAATGGTATAACACATCGAAACAGTTAACTCTGTGTCTGTTTTTGATATTGATTTTAGAAATGTTTGATTTTTCTAAAGAATGGATCAAAGAGTCGGCTCGACCTGACTATTGGGTGCCCGACAAAGACATCACTCATTGTCTTGTGTGCAAAGAAGAGTTTAACGACAAACTGGCAATACATCACTGCAGGGCTTGTGGACAAGGAGTGTGTGACGGCTGTTCCCAAACACGTCAAACAGTTCCCGAACGCGGTTGGGATCAAGCGGTCAGGATTTGCAACGATTGCCAAAAGAAAATGTCTGTTAATTCTGTTCAGGGATGACATCTTCTTCTCATGATTTACTTTTTAATTTTAATTTAATTCAAAACAGTTTTAAGAGTTTATTGGCTTTAAAGTAGAGGTAATCTAAATGTCCGGCAAATATAGCTCTATTTATAGACAACTCGTTGTCTCTTATTTCTTAGTTTAGAGCCTCTCTCTCCCTCCCAATCCTCCCTTCCCTTCATTTAAAGTCAAACATTTGCACATATATTGCATTCATTTAACCATTTATTATATATAAATATTAAACATAAATAGCATTAATTATAAATATATAAAAATACTGTAAAAATCATGATTTGTATAAATTATCTTCGAAACAAATGTCCCCAAAATTAACAAAATGTTATTTTTATCAATTGTTTGGCTTGAAATTCAATCGATTTTAAAGTCGATCTCAGACTTTAGACAAACAAAACTGTTGTAAAACTATTTAAATTCGGAAATAAATGTCAGAATTGTTTTAAAATCAAAACATTTTTTGTGATTTCGTGAAAGTTTCGGAAACTTTTTCAAAGTTTTCTGAAAACTAATATTTTATTATTAGCGGGCATTTCATGCGATGATACAAACGATAGGCCATTGCTTGCGGCCAACACTTTAAGGTCTCGGATATCCCTAACGCCCCATAAGGGGTTCTGTCGTCTCAGACTCGCGTCAAAAGTGACATTACTTTCGGGGCTCAACACACCGTCGGAGGCGTACGGGCCGTATGTCACCAAAAGACCACTTTTGGCCACCAATAAAGAGGCCGATCCCTCAAACAGACCTACAGTGCAATTCCACGGAGAAATATGGATCACGTTTATACACAATATTAGATCCAGTTTTGGTGATTCAGGGATTGGCCATTGATTGAAGGGCGCGGACACATCCAACTGTAGTGGCGGCAAAACATTGGTCACACCCGAGCGTGTGATATGGGCTCCGATCGACTCAAAAAGTCTTGTGTCCACATCTGAAGGTTGCCATCGAATGCGAGGCAAATGTTTGGCCAAATGTGTGATGTGTTGTCCGGAACCGCTTCCTATCGTAAAGACATGACATGAAAACTAATTGACAAAATGTTTGTTTCAAATGTCAAACCAATTTCCAAAGCATTGAGATTGTGATCGACTTTGCCTTCACTTCTCAACACATTTGTCAACACCTGAAGAATCACCTCTTGATTACGTTCTGCCGCCGCGTATCTCAACATTGGATACACTTTTGATTGTAATTATCAAATCAACTGATAGTTAATTGTAAATTGAATAAATGGACCATGGTCAAATTGAATTATTCAATACATGTTATTAATGTAGTTTTCAATGCATGCATACAATGGGTTCCCAATAGTGTTACTATCGCTACAAACGGCAACTTTTGGGAACTTTGGGAACATTTGAGGCAATGTTTTGAGAGAAGGCATGCATTTGTTGTTTCAATTGATTTTAGCAAACATTTAGTAAACGTTTTGCAAACCAAGTGAAGACAGTATTTGGGATCAGTTGAAGTGACAGTTGGCTAAGAAGGAGCGGTGAATATGAGTGAATCGGTGATAGTTGTGAACCGAAGCGATTCGGTGGACGGGAGCCGAAGAACGGAGACAATGGGTGACAACGAAAGCGATTTACTGGAGTTGACTCCATTGGGTTCGGGCCAAGAGGTGGGCCGCAGCTGTATATACCTGGCCTTCAAAGGGAAGCGCATTCTTCTGGACTGCGGTCTGCATCCGGGTCTGAACGGAATGGACGCCTTGCCGTTCGTGGATGTGATAGATCCGGAACAGATAGATCTGCTGCTCATCACTCACTTTCATTTAGACCATTGCGGAGCTCTTCCCTGGTTTCTCATGAAGACTACATTCAAAGGCCGGTGTTTTATGACTCACGCGACGAAAGCCATTTACCGCTGGATTTTAGCCGATTATATCAAAGTGTCGAACATTTCGGCGGAACTAATGCTTTACAATGAGTCAGATTTGGAGCAATCGATGGACAAAATCGAAACCATTAACTTTCACGAAGAGAAAGAGGTCTCTGGAGTGCGCTTTTGGTGCTATAACGCGGGCCACGTGTTGGGCGCCGCTATGTTTATGATAGAGATCGCCGGCGTTAAGGTCTTATACACCGGAGACTTCTCACGTCAAGAGGACAGGCATCTCATGAGCGCTGAGATACCCGCCATCCGACCCGATATATTGATCATTGAGTCCACTTATGGCACACATATTCACGAGAAGCGCGAAGAACGTGAGGCCAGGTTTACGGGAATCGTTTACGACAC